TAAGCAAACAGGTATATAATATCGGGTCATGGCAAGGGCTGTGAAGGAAAATAAAGCAGAGTGAGGGAGTAGCAAGGGACAGGGGAGTTCTCTTTTGCTCCAAAGAGGTGGCATCAGAGCAGAAATCTAAATGGAGTACGAGAATGAGACATGCAGATACCTTGAGGATATCTATACATCAGCAACAGTGTGCTTGTGTTTGTGGAAGTAACAATAGATTTTCTTCCAGAAAGTAGGGACCTAGATCATATGATGAACTTTCCAGCTATAAAATATCTGAGTCTTTAAAGGCATATTCATTCATTCATTCACTCATTTTTTTCAAGAAATAATTTTATTAAGCATCTACTACGGAGTCCATAGTGGTGCAAATGGTTAACACACTCAGCTGCTAACCAAAAGATTGGAGGTTCGAGTCCACCCAGAGGCTCCTCAGAAGAAAGGCCTGGTGATCCACTTGAGAGAAATGAGCCATTGAAAACCCTATAGAGCACAGTTCTACTGTGACACACTTGGGGTCACCATGAGTTGGGGTGAACTGGGCGGCAACTGGTTTATGTGAACAAGACAAGTGCCAGTGACAGACAAGTCCATATCGCCTAAGAACACAGTGTGATCAGTGCTATCATGATGCTGTATTCAGGCTGATGTAAGAGAAGAATTGAGGCAGGTCACCATTCACCCTTTTAGGGATCCATTTGACCAAAGGAAATACAATGTCAAAGCATTAAATTCTGTAATGATGGTTCTCAAAATTTTTAAAGCCATTGAACCATTTCTTTAAATAAAATCTCATACAGAAAGTCCAATATATAATATACAAGGAGTTGCTCTGGTTGGACAAAATTGGGGGCCCAGAAGTACCTTCAAAAACATATAACAAAATAACACATTGGAGAGGTTGTAGGGAGACTGGAACTCTCACGCACTGCTGGTGGGAATGTAAAATGGTACAACCACTATGGAAAACGATATGACACCTCCTTAAGCTAGAAATAGAAATACTATACAATCCAACAATCCCACTCCTAGGAATGTATCCTAGAGAAATAAGAGCCATCACATGAATAGACATATGCACACCTATGTTCATTGCAGCATTGTTCACAATAGCAAGAAGATGGAAACAACCTAGTTGCCCATCAACAGATGAATGGATAAACAAACTATGGCACATATACACAATGGACTACTATGCAACAATAAAGAAAAATGATGAACCCACAAAATATCTCACAACATGGATAAATCTGGAGGGCATTATGCTGAGTGAAATAACTCAGTCACGAGCAGACAAATATTGTAGCAGATCACTATTATAAAAACCCAAGGAAAGGTTTACACACAGAAAAAAAAAATCTTTGACGTTTACCAGAGAGGGGAGATGGGAAGAGGGGAAATTACTAACTAGATAGTAGATAAGTATTAAATTTGGTGAAGGCACAGACAACATACAATATAGAGGAAGTCAGCATAACTTGACCAAGGCAAAGCCAGAGAAGCTTCCTGGACACATCCAAACACCTTGAGGGAACGAGTTACTGAGGCTGAGGACTGGGAACCATGGTTTGGGAGACATCTAGGTCAATTGGCGTAACATAGTCCATAAAGAAAATGTTCTACATCCTACTTTGGTGAGTAGCATCTGGGGTCTTAAAAGCTTGTGAGCGGTCATCTAAGATACATCTATTGGTCCCATCCCATCCAGAGCAAAAGAGAACAATGAAAACCAAAGACACAAAGAAAATATTAGTCCAAAGGACTAAAAGACCACACGAACCACAGCCTACACCAGCCTGAGCTCAGCCTGGCTATGACCACCAACCTCTCTGACAGGGGTCACAATAGAGGGTCCCAGACAGAGCAGGAAAGAAGTAGAACAAAATTCAAATTCACATACACACAAAAGAAGACCAGACTTACTGGTCTGACAGAAACTGGAGGAACCCCCGAGACTATGGCCCCAGACACCCTGCTAATTCAGAACTGAAGCCACCTTGAAAGTCCACCCTTCAGCCAAAGATTAGAGAGACCTACAAAGCAAACACATGAGGAACGAGCTTCTTAGTTCAATCAAGTATAGAGACCAAATGGGCAACACCTGCCCCAAAAGCAAAAGCGAGAAGTCAGGAAGGGACAGGAAAGCTGGATGAATGGACCCGGGGAACCCGGATGGAAAGGGGAGAGTGCTGACACATTGCAGGGACTGCAACCAATGTCACAAAACAATTTGTGTATAAATTTTTTAACGAGAAACCAATTTGTGCCATAAACTTTCATCTAAAGCACGATAAAATTTACCAAAAAATCATGTAACAGTATTGTGTTGGTCATCTAGTGCTGCTATAACAGAAGTACCACAAGTGGATGGCTCTTAGCAAAGAGAAATTTATTCCCTCACAGTCTAGTAGGCTACAAGTCCAAATTCAAGGCATCAGCTCCAGGGGAAGGCTTTTTCCTCTTTGTTGGCTCTGGAGGAAGATCCTTGTGATGCATTAGTCTTCCTGGTGGTGTAAGGTCCCCATGTCTCTCTCTACTCACTTCTCTCTTTTATATCTCAAAAGAGATTGACTTAAGACACTCTCTAATCTTGTAGATCTCATCAATATAACTGCCACTAATCCATCCTATTACATCATAGTGATAGAATACAACACATAGGGAAATCACATCAGATGATAAAAGGCAGACAATCATACAATACTAGGAATCATGACCTAGCCAAGTTGACAGATATTTGGGGGGGACACAATGCAGTCTGGCATTCTACCCTTTGCCCCCCAAAAATTTGTGTCCTTGCCACACGTAAAACATATTCACCCTATCATATCATAGCAAACGTCTTAAATCAACTCCAAGTCCAAAATCCAAAAATCCCTCTTCATCTGTGAAATCTAGAATACAAGTTATCTGCTTCCAAAGTATAATGGTGCAACAGCCACAAGGTAGATATTTCCATTACAAACGGGAGAAATTGGAGGGAAGGAAGGCATAATAGGCACCAAGCAATTCAGCAGAACACATTACATTAGCCCTCAAGGCTTGAAAGTAATCTGCTCTCTGAGACCATTCTCCCAACGGCCCTGCCCTCCAGACTGTAGGTATCGGCCACACTGTCCGGATTCTGAGTGGAGGGCCCTCGGCCCTGGGCTTCAGCTCCACCTTCCAGGCCCACTGGGACGGCAACTCTGCTCCCTCAGCTTTAGGCGCATCATTCTCCTAGTCCATCTGAGTGGCAACTGCACCCTTAGAAACACCAGAGGCCATGGCTGCAGCCTTTGAAACCCCAGAGGTCGAGGCCATACGTTTTGAGACTGAGGCAGCTCGGCTTCTTGTGTTTCTTGTCTCGGTCAGCTTCTGCTTCCTGGTTTTTTGGCCTCTTGGCTTCTTGGGCCTCAAACCCTCATCTGTCCTGCTGGGGCAAGTGTTCCAAAGCTCTGTAGCTCCACTGATAAGTGCCCAGAGGCACCCCACCACTCCACCAGGAAGCCTCCTGCTACGGGCACTCAGCTGTCTTGCTCCATGGGTCGGCCCCAGCGCTGTCTCGCACTGATCTCCTGGTTCTGCTGCTGCTTCTCGCCGACTGTGTTGTCTCCAGTGTAACAGCTCTCTCATTTCCTTCTGAGTCCTTTATCCATTCGCAGTTTCAAAACTACTCCACATTTGGGTATCTTTTAGAGCAGCACCCTACTCCTTGTACCAAATTCTGTCTTCATCATCTAGTGCTGCTATAACAGAAATACCACAGGTGGATGGCTTTTAACAAAGAGAAATTTATTCTCTCAGTCCAGTAGGCTACAAGTCCAAATTCAGGGCATCAGCTCCAGGAGAAGGCTTTCTCTCTCTGTCGGCTCTGGAGGAAGATCCTTGTGATGCATCAGTCTTCCCTTGGTCTGGGAGCATCTCAGCTCAGGAACCTCAGGTCCAAAGGATGTGCTCCCAGCACTGCTTTCTTGGTGGTGTGAGGTCCCGTGTCTCTGTTCGATTCTCTCTTTTAATCTCAAAAGAGATTGGCTTAAGACACTCTCTAATCTTGTAGATCTCATCAATATAACTGCCACTAATTCATCTTATTACATCATAGTGATAGCATTTACAACACCTAGGGAAGTCACATCAGATGACAAAATGGTAGACAATCATACAATACTGGGAATCGTGACCTAGCCAAGTTGACAGATATTTTGGGGGGACACAATTCAATCCATGACAAGTATGAAAACCAGTGCCCTAAATATTTGTATGGCCAAGAACAGAAATCTTTTCATTGTCCACTAAAACCTGCTTCTCTCCATGTTGCCAGGACCAGGACCATTTATTCATCAGTCAAAACCATTAGAACTGTTACCTCTGCGTTTAACAGACTAAATAAATCCCTGGCTAAATGAGAACTGATTTTGGCTACATTTTTCTGCTCTTCAAAACGATTACATCAAACTTATTACAGCCCAAATGACTCATAAGTACAATTTAAGGGGTTCATCTTTGTTTTTCCTACTTCTGATCAAAAGTCACTACATTTGCATTAAGAATCACCTTTTTCAAAGTGTGCTGGTCCATCACCTAGTATTGTACGTTCCTCACTTTTCTCTCCAACGTTGTCATTTGAAGAAAGTCCTACCCTTCTTCCCACTGTAGTTCATATGAGCCTTGGTGGCGCAGTGGTTAAGAGCTTGGCTGCTAACCAAAGAGTCAGCAGTTCGAATCCACCAGACTTTCCTTGGAAGCCTTATGGGGCAGTTCTGCTCTGTCCTAGAGGGTCACTATGAGTCAGAACTGACTAGATGGAATGGGCTGGTAGTATGTATACAAATGGGTGCTCATTGCACACTCCTACATGCTCTTGCACACGTACACACCACAGACCAAGAGAGACGTCCCACTGCAGCTCAGGAATCGGCTCTCCTGGCTGTGCTTACGACTGCTGACCTCACGCTACAGCTCAGGAACCAGCTCTCCTGGCTTTGCTAACTACCGCCTCCCCTGCCTTCTCTCTGCAGATGACAGCAACTACCCAGCCCCCCTCCAAGGCCCAGGCTGTCCACATCTCAGCACCCTCTGCCGCCGCCAGCACGCCTGTGCCCAGCGCCCCCATTGACCCCCAGGCACAGCTGGAGGCTGACAAGCGAGCTGTGTACAGGTAGGAGACCTGCAGCATGTCCCGAGCCCCAGCAGCCTGAGAGCCAGCTCGGCCAGGAGTGATGAATGCAGGCCGGTGCTGGATGCCCCAGAGACAGTGGCCAGCCTGTGCCCCCCTCACCATTCATGTCAACCCAGAATCCTCAGCTGGCCGCTGTGGGTTACTGGAGCTTCCTGGAAACGTTTCCTGAGGGATGTGAAGGCCTGGGCAGTAGCTCCCAAGAGGACCCCTTCCCCATCCTAACTGGGGAGGTGGGCCCCCATGAGCATCAGAAACCACCCGCTAAGGAGACTATCCTTGCCCTGTCCACATCGTTGCCTTCACTCCAACCGGCCTTGCAGAGCACTGGACCTCTGACTGTGCCATCTAGGACTTGGTACTCGAGCTTTAGTGCGCAGACAAATCACTGGGAGGGCCCGTTACAGCGCTTATTTCTGGGTTCCGTGCTCAGACATTTAATCAGGAGGTCAGACTATAGGCATATTTTTTAAAGCATCCCAGGAGAATGTGATGCAGCTCGTCTTTGGACCACACTTTGCTTCATGGTAGTCTTTTTTTTAGCAACAGATGTTGGTGTGGGTGTGCGGGTTCTGGCGCCCTGCCTCGAGACGGGGAGTTTGCTGTCACCAGGCGGCCTCTCTCTTCTTGCCCTGCGACAGCCCCTTGCATCCAGCACTAGGCCCCGAACATTGCAGAGGCAACGGGCTCAGGGCAGTTTCTGTCTGCTTAGTGAACGCCAGCTCTGGTGCCCCTGGCTGGGGGGAAAGATGCACGTGTCTGAGAGCAGGGCTGAAAGAGTCTCCAGCAGGACATTAGTCACCATTTACCCACGGGGGGCCCAGATCACTAAGAAGAGATGGCCGTGTCGGCACTCAACGCTGAGGTTGGACACTTGCCCATGTTCACGTGTGTGTGAGCGTGTACGTTCACATGTATCAGCAAGCAGAGCCTACCTATGGCTGGTGTACACTCACAGCAGGCGCTAATGTCAATAACATGTGGAATGATCCATTCAAGGCAAAATGAAAAGGAAGAGACCGATTCCCTCGTCCTCCCTTCCTCTCGTCACCCCGGGTGACAGTGGCTTTATAGTAGTGCCAGTCATTACTTCTGTTATTATCATCATCACGGGCATTATTTTTAGTTACTCAGATGAGCTAGATGCCTCTAATGCCAGCAGACAGGAACCCAGAGCAGTGGGCCCAGCATCGGGGTCCCAGCATCAGGGCCCTCCCCAGACCAGAGGCCGGGCACCTGGCAGAGGAAGGCAGCCAGCTGCCTGCAGGTAGAGCGTTCTGCCTTCGGCCCTGAAAGAATTCCGGGATTTGGTCACAGTCCCTCTGAGGAGACTCTGAGGGAGGCCAGGCCATGCTGCCCGGGGTGGGGCCCAGCCCTCCACCCTCCCTCTCCTTTTACACCCTTTCCGTGCACCCTTACTGTTAATACGTGCTGGCACTGTGCTCAACTCCAGGGGCGAGCGAGTGACCCCGTGAAGGTAACGCGTGGGCTCTTCCCTTGTCTCTCCAGCAGCTGACAGGCATGCAAACCAGAAAGCAGCCCCCTAGGCTGCACAGAGGGGGCTATGTGAGTTCCATCTTAAAGGCTAAGAGGGTTCACCAGGTGGAGAAATGGGGGGCCAGGACCTCCCAGGCAGAGCAGGGCCTGGTACTTCCAGGAACTGCCAGTGGCCAGAGCAGCTGGATGTGGGAGACGAGGCTGCACAGCCATCTGGAAATTAACCTGGGCGATGAGCTGTGAGCTTGTGTTTTTGCCGGAAGGGAGAAGGGACAGGGCCGTAATGTGGCCTCTGGAAACCATCCGGTGCCTGGTAACGTGGGGGTTCACTCATCCTCCTCCATTTGGTCATCGCTACTCTAAGGGTGGTCCTTGAGCAGCACCATCCCGTCCCCTGGGATCTGATAGAAGTGCAGACTCTCAGGCCCCTGAGACTTAACAACTCATGATCTGTACGTTCACAAGACCCCCGGGTTATTCATTAGCACACCACAGACTGATCCGAGACACCTTCCCAGACCTCTGTCAGGCAGGGCCCTGTAGGGGGAACAAGAAGTTTCTGGAAACCTAGCCTTGAATGCTGCCTTTATGCTTTAGCTGCATAATAGAACCTAACTCAGCAGGTTAGAAAGAGTTTATGCGAAGCCGGTGTAAGACCTGGCCCTGTGTCTGGCACAAAGCACATGATGGCAAAGCAGATGGGTCGCCATGTCCCACCGATGGAATCCATGGGCTCCCAAGCCCTTCCCAGGATCCCACATCAGGCTCATACCCCACCCAGGCCAGACTGCAGGAGAGGTGGGTCGCCTCCCCCATCAGAGCAGTCCATCATGATATCACCTGAAGTATGAAGGCCGGATCTTCTGCAGCCAACACTTCTTCTGCTCACCTTAACTCCTGAGCTTTCCCTTGTCCCACGGGCTCACCCCCGCAGCTGTCTGATCCTGAAGAGGGACTCTTGGTGTGGGTGCCACCAACTGTCCACCAAACACGGCCACCCTGGTACCTTGGGACAATGGAGGACATCAGATCGTTGCCGCTGCTTCCCTCACCCCTGTCCTGCCTCTGCCTCCTGGCCCAGGGGCACCCCACAACCCCACCTCTCCCATCAGTACCAGCGGCCTCTCTGCAGCCGGGGCCAGGATGACCAGGAGGAAGCTTAGCCTCCTATAGGGTCGGGTAGTTTTAATTAGATCTGCCTGCCTCAAGGCAGCCCAACTGCGCCAAAGCACATCAGGGAGTCGGCATTTCATGTCAATAAAGCTAACAAGACCCTTTCCGTTCAGATTAGCACCTGGCACTGACTTTTGAGACCCCCCCCCCACTGCGGCCCCTCCCCGAGCCACAGAGGAAGGGGGGGTGGGAAGACCCCTCCCTGGCCAGGCCCCTGCTGGGTGACCTAGGGGGAGGGTGACAAAATGGGGTGCGCCTGTGGGTGCAGGGAGCCTGCCAGTGCTCGGGAGGTTTTATTTGTGCATGAGGATGTGCTAATGAAATGTGTCGGTTCCTTTCTGCCGTGAAACTGTGTGTGTGCGTGTGTGTGTGTGTGTGTGTGTGGTGTGTATGTGTGGGGGGGGATATGGAGGATGTGGGAAGCTGGGTGTGTGTGTGTGTGTGTGTGTCTGGTGGTGTGTATGTGTGTGTGTGGTGTGTGTGTGTGCGGTGTGTGTGTGCATGTGGGTGTGGCGTGGCTGTGTGTGTGTGTGTGGGTGTGTGGGTGTGTGCGTGCGTGTGGGTGTGGCAAACAGGGTGAGGGCGGCACGGTCAGCCTTTAACTGGATCATACCAGAGCATCAGCTGGGCTAATCAGCAAGGCAACCAGGAGCTCCCGCTCAGATTAATGATTGCGGTATAATCTGAACAGATCCCGTGATTGGATGCACATCGTGGGCGATTGTGCCTGTGGCCTGGGAGCAATGCTGAGGGGTGGTCCGAGGAGGAGAGGCCAGGGCTCAGTTCTCTTCTTCCCCAACCCGCACCTTGACCCTGGGGTTTTCCCCCTAAGAAGTTAAAATTTCTCTCGGACCACCACTAACCCCCACTGCCTCCCCTGCGCCCCCGCCGCCCTCGCCCCATGCTGGGGGGCAGTGCTGTGGAAGGTGAGCGCTGTGTTAGGGGCTGAAACCTGGGGATTAGGTTGCCGGCGGCAGTGTAGACACAGGGCCAGGAGGGTGAGGTGAATCCAGCTTTGCTCTCCCGCTGCCCTCCTTCCCCTGTGAAGTGAGTGGGTTCCCATGGAAACCGTGATGTCCTGGGGAGCAGAAGAGTGTCAGGGAGTGAGGCCTGCCCAGGTGCTAGTGGGGCAGATGGCTCTGCTAGATATTAGCCTCTCCCCTGCAGGCTGAAAACCTCTCTGGAGCCTGGGAAGTGCTGAAGAAGTTCCTGTTAGTGAGAAGCCAATGCTGGGCTGGAGGCCTGAGGGAGGAGACACAGGCGGGTAATTGCCATCACACTTTGCTTCTCCGGTAAAAACGGGGCTTCAAACTGGGTTTCAGGTTCGGCACCCTGCTGAGAGTTTACATTTCCACCCCAGGCATACTGAACCTGAATCTACAGTTTAACAAGATCCCCAGGTGATTCTTCCGGATCCCCAGATATACATAAGAATCACCTGGGGGATCTTGTTAAACTGTAGATTCAGATTCAGTATACCTGGGGTGGAAATGCACATTCTCAGCAGGGGGTCGAACAACAACCAAAAAAACCAACCAGTTTGAAGCCCTGAAAAAAATGCTGGAGAACTTAGCTGCAGGCCAGGTAGGGAGGGTGAGATGGCCTGGCACCTATTTCTCCTTTGTGGCATTACTCACGGTTGGATTGTGTTCACGTTTGTGTTAACATTACTTCTGTTTCCCCAACCTGATGGTTAACTCCGTGAGGGCAGGGTCCGTGTCTTCTTGCTCATTACTTTATCCCCAGCACCTTAGAGTCGACAGCTTAGATGACCCAAAAAAAACCCAAACCCATTGCCATTGAATCAATTCCTGATTCCTAGCGACCCTGTAGGACGGAGTAGAACTGCCCTATAGGGTTTCCAAGGAGCGCATGGTGGATTCGAACTACAGACCCTTTGGTTAGCAGCTGAGCTCTTAATAACCGTGCCACAGGGTTTCCAGCTTAGATGAAGTAAGTTCTAAATCAATGCTTGTTGCGTGGAATGGATTGATTAAGTAAGAGAGGCAGAACCCCATAAACATACCATGTTTCTAGTCTGGTGTGCTGGCAAACTGGCTCTCATGGCGGGGGGAGGTGGGGGCAGGGAGCCCTGATTTGTAGCATTTGCTGATTTCCCTGGTGTAAATACTCCCACCGTGGCAGATCTCCGTGGTGTAAATACTCCCACTGTGGCAGATCTCCCTGGTGTGAATACTCCCACCGTGGCGGATCTCCCTGGTGTGAATACTCCCACCCTGGCTGATTTCCCTGGTGTGAATACTCCCCCCATGGCTGATTTCCCTATGTAAATACTCCCCCCATGGCTGATT